AGCACCCAGACATCAAGGGAAGCACACCAAACAATACAAACGTGAGCTGGTGAAACAGTGTGGCAAAAGCTGGGCAGAAAACCATCACAGATGGGAACCACATCGAAGCGGGTACCAATGCACTGCGTGCGGTGCCAGAATGCATCAAGGCTTGACCAAAAGCATTCTTGAGACCCGACTTCATGAAGACTGTCCGCAGGTGAGGATTGAAGATGCATATAGCTTGCCAGCCAAGGCTGAACCCATGGCCAAGAAGCTCACCCGGGCCCAGGTCATCAAAGACCTCCTGCACCGGCAACAACAGCAAACGCCAGCCCCTGACGAACACCAATATGCTGAGACCACCGGGTACCTCAAATGCCTCAAATGTGGTGTCAACACACACAAAAGAGTCAATGAAGAGGCCTTCCAGCACTTCATCACATCCAAGTGCGTGGATCAAGCATTCCCACAACCGCCGCAAGGGCACCCAAGTCACACTCTGTGGCAAAAGGGTGAGAAAGTAAGATGCACACAATGCGGGTGTCAGTGGAACCTTGATGGAGAGCAGCGAATCATCACCAACCAGGTGCTGACCAAAGTCTGCAAAGGAGCTGGCACCAAAGGCTCACCTCCACTCAGTGAGTTTTTCAGGAAGAAAACGGACACCAGCAGTCAGTCGGCTGAAGCAAGTCTCTCACAGCCACCCGCAAAGGAGGCCCAATCCCTGGATGTGCAAGGCCCTACGCCACGGAGATTGCACTTCAACACCCAGCTTGATGAAAGGGAAGGGCAAGAAGACGAAGATGACGACGGCAACAACATGATTGTCGACTTCTTCTGAACCTCCTGAGCCTAGCTGCGCGGCTTTTAGCCTTGAACCTGCCAAACCGGCAACGAGCTCACCTCCAGGAAAAAAAATACATACATACATATATATTATATATAGTACACACACCACACCAACATGACACCATGTCGGCATTTCGGGGTGGCAACACCTTAGCACGTCGAAGTAAAACATGTTGAAGTAAGCAGGTTAGTTAGCACAAGCCGCAAGGTAGCCTGCAACATGTCAGCGTGACAACAGGTCGGAAACATGATGTGTCAGCACTCAGCAATGACAGCATTGTCATAGTGCATCTCCTCATCGGGACCTGGCCTTTGAGTGTGCTGTTGTATTGCGATTGTTGACCACTTTGTGGTTTGGGGTCCACTTCTTTTAATGAGCAGGGCCGACTTACTCATGCGCAACCAGTTCTAAGGATTTGACAAAGCAGCTAGCTGCTCCTTCGCACTGCTTATTCACTGTTTATGGATAGGGATGCCATCGTCTGCTTTGCAAGGGTTGGACTCGGACTTTTGCATGCGGCGGCTGCGTAAATGCTGTTCAGGGGCATCCTAACCGCAAACAATGAAGGAATGAGGTGCTGGTCTGAAGATTGCAGCATGTAGCAGCAAAGAGCAACACCTGCGGGATAGCAAGACTTTCTGGCTATCAAAGGGTTGGCAAAGGGTTGACAATCCACTGGTACTGTATATAGTTGGAAGGGTTTGCGCAAGGAATGCACAAATACTATCCCTAGCAATTGTTGCTTCCAGAAATGGATTGACACCAAAGTACTCAACAGCAACTAATGATTTTACACTCCGTGCAGGACGTCTGCCTCAGACTCTAGTATACTCTAGTCTCAATGATCCGAACAAGACAGGATCAAGGCCACAACGATTGGGTAGACATTACAGCAGAAGGTTTGACAGTACAACTTCAATCGTTTCACTCTTTCACTCGCCAGACGAATATTCATGAAATCATGCAGTATCAGTGATTCTCTCCAGAGCGTGTCTCTCTCTCTCTCTCTCTTCACAACATCTCTTCCTCTTTTCCTCGTTTGGACTAAGCTCACCACCCACACTGACACACGTCCATCCGCTGTAACCCTATCAGGCAACCGCTGTCATAGTCCCTTTAGGTGTGTTGCTTTGCATCAAATAGCCAGGAGCACCAGTGGAGCTTTGATGTTGAACTCCAAGACAAATCAAGCCTGCCACGACTCAAGCTGGCCGAGTGATTGATTGCATGCCTGCCAACCTCCAAGCCAATAAAGGTATGGCTCTCCGAGTCAGATCGATTTGTTACCATTAGTGTTTGGATGTGCAAACACAACGGCTTGCTCTACTGTAACACCCTAGTGCCATGAAGAGAAATTAAAGAAAAAGATCATTATCAAGGTTCAAGGCAATGATACCAACCAGCATGGCCTTTATGCAACGGTGCGGCTGCGTGTGCTGTTGTGGTCAGTGTAGCACTCGTTTAAAGCTGCCATGGACGTGTGGACATGATTGCACGATCCTAGGTCAGCTCCCATATTATGATGTTCTTCCAATATCCCCTGAACGTACACGATGTAGACTTGGTTGGGATCCTACCTTGGTTTCCATGGTGGAATGCCTGGAAAGAGTTTGTCCTAGGCCGGGCCTTGCGTTGCCGCATTGCCAACCACCGTCCAAAGGCCTGAAGCTGGCAGCAACCTACTAGAATCGTTCAGCTAACACCTGGATAAGCATTCTTCTGTGCAAAATTGCCGTTGTCCCCGAAGCCGCAGGCCTCATTGAAAGGTGGATGTCCTGCCTTGGAGGCTTTGCGAGTACAGCTTCCTGACAGGCGTTGCAAGCTGGCCATATATGTCAAATTGCAAGTGTAAATGCTTTTTCATGAAAGGAGCTGTGACAGCAGGCTGATAAATGTTAGGTGCTCTGATGTAGGTGCAGCTCATCTAGTGTTCTAGGTACATGTGAGAGAGTCAGTATCTGCTCAATCTGCGCGCTTCTTAGGGGCAAACCAACTTGCTCTGCGACGCATCGGCGGAACTAACGTATACCTGAAATGGAAGCACAAGAAAAAACAATATGTCCGTCCCCGACTGCGGAAAAACGAGGGAAGCACGGCATTTCCGAGAGAATCAGCCCAAGCACCCAAAAGGTCCTGCCAGAACAGGAAATTGACAGCAATCTTGAATTCAATTCGTTTTCGCTCCAGCACCTAGCACGTTTGGAGGCTTATTGTTCGATGAAGCATGCTTATCTGGATTTCAAACCACAATGACACCGTCATAGACCCCAGATAGCAACTAACTCTAAAAGCAAAAGCACCTGAGACAGCAGCAGCAGCAAACAACGCCGATCACAGCAGCAGCAAACAAAATACCGATCACACAGACAGAGAAGTGGGGAGACAAGGGGGAGACAGGCAAGGCGACATGTGGGGAGAAAAGGCATGAAAGCTACGTGGAGAAAAACAAAGCAATAAGGATGTTCATTCCTGTACTAGTCAGTCTAGAAAAAATGTATCATCATGCTACTTGAACCATCCCCAAGGGCCCACCATATTGTTGCCAATTTCAATAAACAAAAGTATCTGGCCAAACATTTTTCTGTTACGAGGAAACCGGCTCAAATGGCCCAGTCTGTAAAGTTGTTTCGTCAACAAGCATTGGCCTTGTACCACTTTTTGACAACTCTCTTGCTTTGCTGTCCTTCATGTCGATTCTCCGCAGCTTTAGCCAAGACTGGTCTGACCTAAGCACAGCTTTGGGTAAGGTGCCTCCAGTGAGTCTCCTTATCTTGGTGCCTGGCCAAAAGGAGTCACTCGACCCCTTTTCTTCAAGCCATGCTAAGGGGGACAAAGTCATGTCCGGTGCAGCCAAAGCCTTAGAACAACAAGTCCTTTGCGTGTATACTGCGCATGCCCTGTAAACAAGGGGAAAGGACCAAACAAGTTTGCTAGTGCTTTGGCACCGCTTGAGCCATCTTTGCAGCCAGCAATCAAAGTTTGAAGGCACTGATGCGATGTAGGCAAGTCAGCACTGATCTTTTACAATTGCCACAATTATAATGGCGGATACGTCCCGAATAGGCCAAATAGGATTGCAATCGGAAGAATTCTGTTAACAACTAAAGGTCCAAGTAAAAAGGCAAACAAATTACGCCAGCCTAAGCCCCAAATAGCAAAGAATACTAGTGGGCGGCATAGTCACTAGCACGTAAGCTCCAACGCGCACATGGCCACACATCTAGCAGCGCCCTGAAGCGGCACCGGCACCCAAGCTCCAAAGCAGCGCCACCCTGCAGCGGCACCAGCACCCAACCTCCAAAGCGCACACACCCACCCCTTTCTATGTTTGAACTAAGAACCCCAATAGCTCCCGCTATCATAAAATCACACTTTTCTTTGGCTCTGAGCTCTTCAGACTCAGGAACAAACCGCGATAGCCTTGTAGTCTCACTCCCAAACTAGGTGATACTTTGAGGCATTTGTAAACGTTGACAGACCCCGAAGCCAGCACCACAAGGCTACCACAGCAAGATGTTTGCATCACTCACCTGCCATCCCTTTTGGCAGAATGGAGCATGTGAGGCATGATGTACACTTCAAAATCAGTATATAATTAAGAGGACAGCTCCTTGCTGCCGCTACCAAATCGGCATGGGGCAGCCAGGAACTTGAAAGTGAGCAGTTTGGAGCAGTTGGTTGAGCTTCTTGTATGAGTTTATCTTCGTGTGCGTATGCGTGCTTGCCCTGGTGCGAGCACCGAGCGTCGAAGTTTTAGAACACCAGTAGCATCAGAAGTTTTTACACTTCGTTCTTTGCCCCATCGAACGTTAAAAGTTCAAGCCGGCACGCAGCAACTTTGCGCATCTTGGTAGCTTCTGCCGTACGTTGCGATCCCACAAAAATCAGCAACGCATTTGGCATGGCTTCCAAGTGTAGCGGCGATTTAGCCGGCAGTTTCAGCGGAACATGCCTCAAAACTGTTGATGTTGTTGTCAAAGACAAACGTGCTGTGCTGAAGCCTCGAGCAAGCTTCTGCTCAAGGCTCACACCCTCTGGAGAGTGTGATCGGACTAGCAGTTGGCAGTGTACATTGAACATTGACCAAACCGCAAGGAGCCACTGAAGTTCTCAATCAGTCAAAACACAGCGTTTCACATGTTAAAGTTCCAAAGGACAAGGAGAAAAACATGTATCGCGTCTGTTTGGCTTCTGTCAGTGGCAGCAGTTTCAGCCACCAAATTGGAGGCGCTTCACGGCATAAAGATGCATTCAATTCATGCAGTTTCAAACGCCGCTTCCACCATCACTTGGGCACAGCCCCGCAGTTTCGCACCAACTGAGAGCTTCGGCCAGCCTCACAAGCATTGCCCGAAGCATAGCTCTTCTGCTTGGCGTCTTGTCCTTGTTACCTCCCTGTGGAAAACAAACAAGTGCAACAGGTTGCATCCAAGCTCAGTCAAACTCGTCTAAGCTACTTGCCATAACTGGACTCAAGTCAAAGCGTCCTGGCACATGGGTGCGATTCAGGACAATAAAGCTCAAGCTTCTTCAAGAAAGCTCCCCCCAAAGAGCCCTTCTGCGTCGAAGCCTAAGAAGCTTCTTAAGCTAAGTAGCTTGCCTCCTCAACCTACCTAGCTACTGAAGATCTTACTCGTGGCCTCCCCCCGGCTAAAAGCGAAATAAAGGAAAAGGTTGGTTGCTGACCTTTGATTCTGAGATTGCGGTGGGCAGACAAAATGTTGCAAAACCAGCACCAAAATCATGTTTTCTGTGAAACATGATTCGGATTCACCTTGGAGGTGATATGAAATCTGACCATTGGATCAAGGATGGGATGCAGGTGAGTCAAAGCATCCCTACTCCAATGATGAATGGAACAAACTATTGTACTACAGCCGCCCTTGCTTTGTGCAGAAAATGCTTCCGGAAGCACCAGCTTGCTATTGCAATTGTTGATTGATATGATCTTTGAAGGCTTTGGCAGGTTGCCTCTTGTGTTGGTAAAGGCTGGGATGCCACTCGGAGCGCGAGAGATCAAAAGGCCACTTGGTGGTCACGGGCAATCAAAACACCCACGGTCTCAACAGTTCCGGCAGCTACATCACCTAAGGACCTAGGATGACATGGTGTTTCTGTTCGGAATGCAAATGTTTGCCAGCATAGTCTGCAGACCTCTCTGAAATGGCTGAGGCTGCACTGGTGATGCAACTAAGGAAAGTGAGGTACTTCCTGTATAGGCTCGGCTGAACCAAGGGTGATTTGATGATGACCGTTGTGCCATCATGATAAAGCTGGCATAATGCTAAGTTCACTTCGCGGAGACTCCTAGCCTATGTGTGATCCGAAAACATGGTAGGAGTAGGTGAGTCAAGACTAGACAACGTGGCAAAATCTGGAGATGGTTTATGACGAAAGGTACTAACAGCTACATGAGTTCTTCCTTCCGTTGGGATGCAGATGGATGCAGTAGTTTTAAGGAGTCTCAGGGTGCCACTATTAGCTTCACAGTATTTTGCTATATTGCCTGTGTCTCACTCATCTTGCCTTGCCCCGTCTCAAGTATCCTAATCTCCTCCCCCCAATCTCATGGTTCCATACCAGCTCATGTCAACTCATGTCGTCTCCTCTCATTACAAATCCCTACTACACCGTTCGTGCTTCCTTAAATCCAGATCCTCTTCAAAGTTCATAGAATTAGCTGCGGAACTAAATGGGTCTGCCCAAGATAGCAAAAGAGCGATGGAAACTGAATCATGAAAAGGAGAGAGGAGCAAGGACGGAACAAGAAGCTACTAGGAGCAAAGGGCATCGCTACTAGGAGCAAGGACGTACTAGGGGCTCCTGGCCTTACTACTGGGAGCAAGGATGCCACTAGGGGTTCCTGGCATCGCTACTAGGAACAAGGACGCTACTAGGGGCTCCTGGCATAGTAGAAACTTACACAGGAAGTGTCAGTTCTGAGAAGCCACGGCAGCCTGCAACATTTTGGCCGTGCTTCTCGCAAAGCTGAAGTACATCCTCTGCCCAAGGATTAGTTGGGTCCTGCTAGGCAAGGAGTTCATATCAAAGTATGTTGCTTGAAGCGAGTTCCTCAAAAAAGGAGAAAATGCCGTTTCAGTCCATCATACGCTTTTAACGCAACACTCTTGAACGTTTCTTGCTAGTAAGGTCTCTGCCAAAGGAAGAGACGCAGCCTCAAAGCAAATCTCAACACTACCAAGTCAGGACAAGGATTGTCAACAGTGGGGTATGAACGGTATGAACTACCACAGGAATCCTCTACCATATACTGTCAAGCAAACGGAGCAAAAACATGATAACGTCATCACCCTATATCACCCTTACAATTTCTGGACCGGAGCCTTTGCCGTTGGAGTTGACCAAGCGGTAGACCACGACCTGGAACAAATTTTGAAAAGGTATTCTCCAAAAGAAACAGACGAAAGCGCAAGCAAACAAACTCCATGTGGAGCTTCGGAAGCGGACGCAGCTGAGAACGGAGGAGATGCAGTGGACACCGAAGGTGGGCCTCGTGGCCTCAGAGCAACCAAGCAGCGCAAAAGGTTATATAAGTAAAGGAAGAACAAAAGGTTAAGTAAAGGAAGTGCACAAGTTAAAGGTCTGCAGGAAGAAAATGAAGACAGAAAAGAAACAGAAATGCAAAAGAAATGCACCGGGTGGAATCCTGAGACAAGCGTGGATTCCTATGGTAGCGCTGAGCACCGTAAAGAAAGTGTACTGGTTCCTTTTGCCTTGCTTAAGTTCCCCTAAACATCTAGGAACCAAATCATTAGTGCGAGCGCTGTCCTGCACCCATATGTAGTAGCTTAAGTAGCTGGGAGCTTACTCCCTTACTTGATTATGTAGGCGCCTACTTAATGAAAGGTCTTGTTTCTAATAGTTTCTTGTTCCTAGTAGTAAGGCCAGGAGCCCCTAGTAGCTTCTTGTTCCTAGTAGCGATGCCCTTTGCTCCTAGCAGCGTACTTAATGAAAGTAAGGGCGGGCTTAAAAACTGCTCTAGTGATGTCCACCTCAAGGCCTCGAGGCCTGGGGCACGCAAGACCTAGGGCCTAGGGTGAGCAAGAGCCGAGGCGAGCACAGGAGCCTAGTGGGGCGTTTGGCTCGCTTTGGCTTTGCTGCTTTTGCCATGCTCTGCCATACTTTTAGTACTAAGCAATGAACAAAATTTCATGCTGAGTTCAGCTCTCCTCCTGCTCTTTGCGAGGACTTCCTGGCACGCTGCGCAGTGTTTGGCATGGACTCCAAAAGAATGTTCAATTCCCTAGCCACCTGGTGGATCCTCCTTCCAATGTGCAGAGGGAGCCATCATACTGGGATATGATGCACAAGGCCTAAGAGACAAAAACGGTTGGCTTGGGCTTTCAGCAGGAAGAGCCTGAGCCACCCACCCAGCATGTTGATCCCATCCCCAATAATTCTGGCACATGCACACGCCACATGCATTCTTTGAATACCAAGAATCCAAGAATGGAAGGATGCTACATTTGAAAATCAGATGACCTTGTTTAATGTGAGAATTGAAATGGTGGTGGAGCTGCGCAGCTTGCAACTCTTGTGACATTGTGCAATCAAAAGCTGCTTGGTTCGCAACCCACGGGCTGCCTCCACAGGTTCGTAGGATAGCCAGCCTCAGGACTCAGGGTGACGGGCTTTGGATGCTTGCCAGAAAAACACCGAAGAAAAGAAAAACCGTAGAGAGTATTGAGGGCTATTCACGTAGTCAGGTTCAAGACCGAGCATGGTAGCATGCTTATGGGGTAGTAAACAAGATGGAGCCCACGAACCCGAATGCAAACATGTAGTCGAAAACAACCGCCCAAAAAGTTTTTTGACACTCTTGTGGGGCACTCTTGTTGGACACTCTTGTCGGACACTCTTGTGGGACACTCTTGTGGGGCACTCTTGTTGGACACTCTTGTGGGACACTCACGTACGACACTCACGTACTCAGATGTAATTTGGCCACAGAGGTTGACAGTTCGGAGGCCGCTTCCCGCACTACACGGCTCCCACAACCTGCTTCCCGCATTACATGTGCACTACAAGTTGCCAGTTCTGAGGCCACAGCTCCCAGAAGGCGCTTTCTGTACTAGGTGCGCTACATGTGTGCTACCAAGTGGCCAGTTCTGAGGCCACAGCTAAAGTTGCCAGTTCTGAGGCGCGAAGGGCCAGAAGCCGCTCCGCGCTACATCTGTACCGCCTTCCCACATTGCATGTGTGCTACAAATTTGGACACTCTTGCGAGACACTCTTGTATGACACTCTTGTATGTCACTCTTGTAGGACACTCTTGTGGGACACTCTCGTAGGACACTCTTGTCGGACACTCTTGTGAGACACTTTTCTGAGGCACTCTTGTTGGACACTCTTGTCGGACACTCTTGTGGGGCACTCTTGTAGGACACTCTTGTCGGACACTCTTGTGGGACACTCTTGTGGGACACTCTTGTGGGACACTCTTGCGGGGCACTCTTGTTGGACACTCTTGTCGGACACTCTTGCGGGGCACTCTTGTGGGACACTCTTGTCGGACACTCTTGTGGGACACTCTTGTGGGGCACTCTTGTTGGGCACTCTTGTCGTGCCGGACACTCTTGTGGGGCACTCTTGCGGAACACTCTTGTAGGACACTCTTGTGGAACACTCTTGTGGAACACTCATGTCCGACACTCACTCCTGCAGGACACTCTTGTAGGAAAAATCTTGCAGGACGTGGGACACTCTTGTAGAAAACCTTTGCGGAACACTCTTGTGGAACACTCTTGTGGGACACTCTTGTCCGATACCCATTTTTGTGGGACACCTTGCAGGAAAATCTTGTAGGACGCGGGACACTCTTGTAGGACACTCTTGTGGGGTACTCTGGTATGACACTCACTCCTGCGGGACACCCTTGTCGCAAAATCTTGTAGGACGCGGGACACTCTTGTAGGACGCCTTCGTGATACTCTTGTAGGGCACTCTTGTCGAACACTCTTCCGGAACACTCTTGTGGGACTTTCTTGCAGAACACTCTTGCAAGACACTCTTGTGGGTCACTCTTTTGCGACACTCTTGTATGGCATTCTTGTGGGACACTCTTGTGAAACACTTGTGTAGGACACTCTTGTGGGACACTCTTGTCGGACACTCTTGTGGGACACTCTTGCGACACTCTTGTCGGACACTCTTGTGGGACACTCTTGCAGGACTCTTCTTGTGGGACACTCATGTGGGCACCACCACTGCAGTCTCCAAATGTCAACCGTCACGTTTTGGAGAGTCACACGTCAAGTCTGCAAAATGAGCACTTCGCACGAGACTTCTTCCAAAATTCACTCGTCAAGTCGTACTTCCTCCATAAGTCACATGTCAAAGTCTCCAAAACGCGCATTTCGCACGAGACTTCCTCCGCGCCTGCCACGAAATGCGACCTCCGCCACACCGCGCAGCCTCACGATTCCCTGCGCTTGCCACGAAAAATGCACTTCCACACCTCAAAACCCGCACAAGGTTCTGCGCCTGTTACGAAAAGTGACAATATCAGATCATGCTAGCTTCAAATTTTGCACCACACCATAAGTTTGGAATGATTTTGACGCGTTCTGAGCACACTCCCATCCACCAAAGTCATGCTTCCATCCAAAACCCTTTCCAAAAGCTTCGCCCAATGTCAAGCCATAGCGCTCCACCTGCGAACAGTTGCGGACATTTGCGGACGCTCAGACAACGAGTCGCGAACAAGGCTCTACCCCCGACCCCAGGGTTAAACGAGAACCAATCGCTACGCATTCGGGAAAAATGCAAAATGCAAGGGAAAAATCATATGATTTCCAGATTCACCTCACTTGTGACGCTGGCGGCTAGACGCTTTTGTTCTGGACTTGGATGTCAGTGGAAGCTTTGGGTAAGCGAACACTCCTAGTGCCACAGAACGTCACGATGCATCAAATCGCAGCACGGTAAACTGGGTAACCCTCCACCAGGAAGAGCTGCTCTTGAATACTATGCAAAACATCAAACATTGTTTCCCGATCCTCGCCAGTCTCTGACTTCTTTTGCAGAGGCGCCAGTTCCATTTGGCCAGCAGACCATAAGGCAAAATAGAGGCCATGGCGTTCGACAAACACACGGAAAAGCCGTTCACCCTGATCAAGCCAATTGCTCATCCTATTGTCAGAAAAGCGAAACTTCCGCCGCAATCTCAAGCCGGAAGCCATGCCACCTGACTGGTGAAGTGCCATGCATTTCGCAGGAATGGCCTTGCTATCGTGACCAAGCGCAGCACACTCATGCAGGCTCTTCTCATGACAAGAACTTGGCTTCAAAGGTGGACCCTCCGAACAAGATGCACTCCAGTTCGCGATGCGGTCAAACGATGTAAATTTGCGATGCCCCTCCTTCTTCTCTGCAAAGAGTCTGCTCAGTTCACGTCGAATATGATGAAAGTAGCTTGCAGCTGTGCCAAGCAAGTTACACGTGTCGGAATTGAGCAGCAATGTTTGCGTAGATTTCCGTTTACCTGGAGCGTCCCACGGTGCTTTTTGATCCAAGGAAATTTGTGAGGACACGCTGAGCTGGCATCGAATGCGGGGCATGCTGATCGGGCGAACTTCTTCAAATCGATCGAAATTCAAATGCTCAAAAAGCTGTGGGATCATTGCCATCCTCTTGCTGCAAAGAGCAAGTAAACCAAACAATGGCCAACCAGACTCTAGGATTTCCTCGAAGCTCGACAAATGCCATGATCTTCCCAAGGGCAAACGAAATCGAAAGTCTTCTGCGGCCATTTCAGACTGCTTCCGGATATCATCAAAGTCTATGGTATCGAGCATTGCGACAAGGCGTGTGTTCCAATAGAAAATTGTCTGCTGCCGAAGCTCACGGATCAAATCAGGATTTGTTTGCGGCACTTCATTCTGGCGATCTCGCATTAGAGAGAAGGCAAGTCCCAGTGACAGCATTCCTACCGGACATTGCTCCTCCCACCTTGTCAAATCGCCAGTGGACCATTCAGTGAAAAGCTCTTCTACTTCATTTCGTTCAAGTAGGCCTTTAGGGCCTAGCTGATCTGGCCCGCCTGCTTTTAGCAATTGCGTCAACATACTCCGAACACCACCCCAACTTATACTTGGAACAAATGGAGGAGTTGTCTGCAACATCACCGAGCGCAGAGAGCAGCTCGGGTCTGGATAGAATCCTCGTTGCCGGACCCAGATCTCATCTGCTACAATTCGGTCAAGGAAGCGGTAGCCATTTCTGCGGAGCAGTCTCGACAGGCGTTTGTACATGGTTTCTGGAAGAATGTCATCGATTTCGACACTGATAACGTCAACTTGATGTTTCTGGAAGTTGAACGTTCTCAAGATCTCAAGCTCAGAACCTTCTACATCTAGAGATAGGTAGTCAATATGGCTTCCGTGCTCAGCTAAATGCAAATCTATCAAAGAGCTCAAGGATTCGCACATGAGGGACTTTGTTGAATGATTGGAGAGCATGTGTCGGCTGGTTGTTCCACTATTCAAGCCATCTTCCACAAAGTCTTTGCGGCCTGCCCTTCCTGCCACACAAGCTTGAACACACTTTGCGTTTGGACGATTCTGCTGTAGCTGTTGATATAGCTTCGAAGAAGGCTCAATCAATAGGCCTGTCCATCCAAGCTTTTGCTCGAAAGCTAAACTATTGCTCTTGTCAAGACCATCTCCAGCACCGAGTTCAACAAAAACTCCTTGGCGAGTACTTTCTCCAGCAGAGAAGGAGTACCAAGCATCAGCAGGCTCTTCGCTGTACAGCCATGACATAATTTTCTGATCCTGTCGATACTGGGAGTGCCAACCACCCAGCCAATCAATCGAGAAGTCTTTTTCAGTCAAATCTGCCTTTGTGCAAGCAAACACGGAGATCCAAACGATCCACGGCATGCTGCCAGTTTGAAACGTCATTCTCGTGGATGACCAAAAAGCAAGCACAGCAATTCGTAGAAGCCGTCTTGGAACATCATGGCTCAGGTGTGAAATGGGAGTGTATGATTCTTTCAATATGAGAAATATCATGGTCGGTGCTGCAAGCGAACGGATCTGCAAAGAAAAGTTTATCCTTCAACACTTGCCGACAATGAACGAGACAAATGCTTGAGACCTGATAACTCTTTTTGGAGAAATGTCTTCTTCTGTTCATGACTTTAGTCATTCATTAAATTGATGAGTGTTCTAGCAGCTGCACTCTTTTCTAGGATAAAATGCCTCTCATCTTCCATGGCAGGTGCAGACTTCCAAAGCTCAGGATCGCACCATAGCTGGCATAGCTTGCGCTTTCAGGCTCCAACTGCAGCAGAGTGCAAACTCCATGGGACTTTCCTGCTTGGCCGGACAAGAATGCCTGGCTATGCTGCTGAAGCTGCCAGTGGTCTGCCTCGCAAATCAGGACTGTTTGAAGGTTTCAAAGTGGAAACGGAGCTAGGATCCAACGCCTTTTATGTCAAGATGGCTCTGAGCAGGCACACACATGCAAGTCAGGTTTGCTATGAAAGCATTGCTGTGTCAGAAAGCAGTTCATGTTGGAACATTGTTCTGTAAACTCGCTACTAGTTGATTCCTTTTCACTACTTGCCTTCCTATACGTTGAAGCCTCGACATAATCAAGCCCAACACTAGACTCTAAACACACAGAAGTCACAGAATTGCCTCCTGCAAAGGGACTGACCTTGGCTGTCCGATTGCATTTCTTTCCGCAACGTTTTGGGACTGAGGTCTCAGCTTTCCATCGGGCCCATCGGGTGATCTGAGCTTTCCTGACGAGGTAATGGGGAACGACTTGCAAAGGCAACTTTGTCAACCCAAAGTCATAAAGCTGTAGTCATAAAAAGACGTAAAGACAAAGCCTTCTCTTTGACGACGACTCTTCCTGGCCCAACCAGAGAAGGTAGATAAATCCAGACAAAACTAGTTGGGACTGGGTAGCTTGGCTTCTTTTCGACACTCATTCCACCTTGATTTGCGTGGCTTTTCATCTGACCTAAGCAGCAAAGAAACTTCACACAGAGCGGAGCCGCGGAGCCGCAGAGCTCTTCGCTTGTATTCTGAAGCCAAGACTGCTCCATGGATTCCGCAGGGGCACTTTCCAGTTTTGGCAGTGCGGCCTGGCACTTCTCACTACTAGGAACAAGAAGCTACTAGGGGCTCCTCGCATCGCTACTAGGAGCAAGGACGCTACTAGGGCTCCTGGCCATACTGCTAGGAGCAAGGACGCTACCAGGGGCTCCTGGCCTTACTACTAGGAGCAAGGACGCTACTAGGGGCTCCTGGTCTCACTACTAGGAACAAGAAGCTACTAGGGGCTCCTGGCATCGCTACTAGGAGAAATAACGCTACTAGGGGCTCCTGGCCATACTACTTGGAGCAAGGACGCTACTAGGGGCTCCTGCCCTGGCCTTACTACTAGGAGCAAGGACGCTACTAGGGGCTCCTGTCCTGGTCTTACTACTAGGAGCAAGGCCGCTACTAGGGGCTCCTGTCCTGGCCTTACTACCTGGAGTAAGGACGCTACTAAGGGCTCCTGGCCTTACTACTAGGAGCAAGGCCTTACTACTAGGAGCAAGGACGCTACTAGGGGCTCCTGGCCTTACTACTAGGAGCAACGACGCTACTAGGGGCTCCTGGCCTTACTACTAGGAGCAAGGACGCTACTAGGGGCTCCTGTCCTGGCCTTACTACTAGGAGCAAGGACGCTACTAGGGGCTCCTGGCCTTACTACGCCTCACTACTAGGAGCAAGGACGCTACTAGGGGCTCCTGGCCTTACTACTAGGAGCAAGGACGCTACTAGGGGCTCCTGGCCTTACTACTAGGAGCAAGGACGCTACTAAGGGCTCCTGGCCTTACTACTATAGGAGCAAGGACGCTACTAGGGGCTCCTGGCCTTACTACTAGGAGCAAGGACGCTACTAGAGGCTCCTGGCTTACTACTAGGAGCAAGGACGCTACTAGGGGCTCCGGGCCATACTACTAGGAGCAAGGACGCTACTAGGGGCTCCTGTCCTGGCCTTACTACTAGGAGCAAGGACGCTACTAGGGGCCTGGCCTTACTACTAGGAGCAAGGACGCTACTAGGGGCTCCTGGCCTTACTACTAGGA